GGGGTGGCTCGCGGCGCCTGGGGTCGTGGCCTGTCGCCACTCGAGTCGCGCAGGGAGCTGGTTCGTGTGACTCGAGTTTCTCGGCGTGCGGGCAGGTGTGCCCGTCTTGGGGCATTTGGTCTGTCTCCTCTCTGGCCCCCGCCCCGAGTGTTTCTTGCTGTTGAAGAAGTGTTGCCTTCGGTAGAGAAGCTAGCCGACGCGAGCCAGGTAGAACCTCGGTGTGTTCTGATTTGCTTACGCGGAGATCCGCCCCTTGGCCTGGGGTGGTCGGGAGCCTTGGCGGCTGTGTCTCCGGTGTGGGACTTCGCTTCAGGGGCAGCCTGTGGTCCTAGGACAGCTCAGGGCCGCCGGGCGAGGGTCTCCTGCATGCAGAAGGGAGTCTCTTCCCAAGCCTGTGAAGGTTTGCATCTGGGCGGAGGGTTTCTCAGTCTCACCCGTCAGGGCTTCGCTGCCCATGCTGCAGCTGAGTGCACCCGGGTGGTGGGAGCTGAGCCTTGCCTCGCTCGCCCGTGTGGTTCTGAGGTCCCTGCCGGCCACCGGCAGAGTTGGGTCTGGTCTGAGCAGGTGAGTTGAGACGTGCAGCCCAGAGTGGGTGCATGCAGCAAGGCAGAGGGTGGGACGGGGTCTCTACCAGGACACCTGGGCTTCGCTGCAGGCGTGTGCGCGCCTCTCTGATGCTTGGGGTGGCTTTGTCTTTGCGTCATAAACTTTGCTGCTCCTTGGAAGCGTCTAGCGACACTGGCTGTGCACTAAGCTCCTCTGTTGATTGGGATGGCAGGTTGGACCTCAGTGGGATTCTGAGCAAGCGGCTCTGCTCTGTGGTTGAATTGCAACAGACTGGCCACCATGCCCTGGACACTGTGAGGCCAGGAGTGGGAGTGCGGTCTCCTCTGGGACCAGGCTCTCGCTTGGAACGTGGGTGTGCTCCCTGTCACCTCTGGGACCGAGGACATGGACGCAACAGCTGGGCGTTGGCCGGAGGTGCAGGAGATCTTGTGGGGCCGCCCCACCTCCTGTCGCACCTGGGACCACCACAGCCAGGTGCTCGGTAGGGCCTCTGGGCCACCCTGTCCGGTCTCAGCAAGGGGGCTGCCTCGTTGCTGACCATTCTGCACTAGCCCCGGGCTGACGCCCTGCCTACGGCCCACAGCTGCCACCCCAGGTCTGGCCCAGCCTCTGGCCTGCCTCAGGCCCGCCTGCTCCTGGGCCAGCAGCTCTGCGGCTCTTCCCTGCCGGACCCCTCACAACATAGCTCCGTTGTCTCCTCGCTGCTCACCTGACGTTTCCAGGGCTCCTGCCCTTTTGGGGAGCCCCGGCAGCACTGTCTGTCTCAGGCTTCCCCTGTGGGGAAAAGCCGGGCAGGACTGAGTGTCCCAGAGAGCAGGGGCATGTCCCTCACGAGGAGGGTGGGTGCCCGTGTGTACTCCAGAGGGAAGTCTACCTGGGTCCGAGCCTAGCACTTCCTGTCGTTGTGAACCTGACCTTGAGCTGGCGGCCTGTGGCTTGGATTGGCCCCTCTGTCACCCACTCATCTTGACGCCAGTGCTCCTGCCTGGGGGACCCTGATTCTCGCCTGCTTTTTCTTTGGGTGCAGTGAGGGTATATTGTATGGGCTGGTGATCTGGTGATATCATGGCCCACCCACCTGAGCCCTGGGACTTTGGGCCACTGGAGTCGGCCAGGGCCTTGGTGAGGGCATCTCAACCCTGGGACAGCGGTCACCCAAACTGCCTCAAACCCGAGTGCACTTGGGACTCCAAGTTCCTGCCTCAGTGGTCCTGCTAGGTCCTGGGCATTTGCATGCCTGATGAGTGTCAGGTGGTACCATGAGAGCAGCTGGGTGGGAGGCGCAACTGCCCAGGTGGAGCCACCTGGTGAGGGCGCATGTGTCACTGGGGTGGGGCTTGTGCTACAAGAGGCTGCCTTCTGCACTGCTGGGTGCTGGTGGCCATGCTAGGACCCCTGAGCCGGCGGGGTTCAGATGGGGAAACAGCCATCCCGCTGGTCGGAACCTGGGGTTTGAGGTGAGACTCTGCCCTGATGGTGGGTGACTCTGGCCCCCATGCCTGCAATTGGCTGGGACATATAGCCGCCCCGCTGCTGTGGGAGGCCAGGTAGTGACCAGGACGGCCAAGCTGGGGGCACGGTTGCCTCATGTTGGCCTCGCTCTAGGTGAGGTCCTACAGCCCAGTGCAGGGTCCGCACGTGGGTAGCTGAGGCCTGGGGTGGGCTCATTGCCAGGCCCTTCCCTCCAAGAAGCAGGAGGACCTGTCGCCAGCACCCTTGTGTGACCCTGCGGGGCTGGGACATTGTGACCAGCTTCAGAGACACAGCCCCAGGGCTCTGTAAAGCCTTGATTGCCATTGAGATGCCTGGTTTGGGGTCATCCTTAGGGTTCCTTGGACTTGGGAGAAGTGCACACGCACTTAGGGTCAAATTATCCAGCAAGTTGTGTCGCTGAGTGCTGTTTCTTCTAGGCAAAGGATGCCGGTGTCCATGGGTGGGTGAAAGTTGAGGGCTACATCAAGGCCGCCGGCCCCTGCCCATTTGGTGTCCCTAATGCTGGTGGTGTCACTTGCTTGTCTGCCTGCAGTGACACAGTTGCACTGACGGGCTTCCAGCTGTGGTCTGGAGACAGGCGCAGAGCCTGGTTCTGTCCCCCAGCCCCCACACCGGCCCTTCCTGCAGGACCCAGCCATCCTGAAAAGTCATAGGGACCCCTGGACAGTGGGCCAGTGGACACTTGTAGGCAGGCTGCAAGTCTGGGAAGGGTCAGCTGCCATGGCCTCTTGCCCACAGCATGTTTATCTGTTCCCAGCCGGTGGTATTTTTTTACTCTGTTGCCTTCAGGAATAACTGCCGTCTTGGCTGGGCCTGAACCCACATCCAGAGCCCCAGTTTCTGTGCTGCCCTCCTCCATGCCCTGTCCCTGTCACACCACCTGCTATGGTGTGGAAGGGGCACAGGTCACTGCCCTGCAGCAGTGGATCAGTGGCCGTGGTGTGAGCTGCGGGTCTGGTGGGGTGGGGGCCCTGTGGGTCCTTCCCTGGCGACCCTGTGGTGGGGCAGCTGTTTGACAGGGTTTTGCTGGTGGGCTACAAATGCCTGCCCCTGTGGGCGGGCAGCCCAGGCAGCCTCTCCTGACTCGCTCTGCCTCCTGTTCCAGGGACTTGGAATATGTCGGGGATTGCCCTCAGCAGACTCGCCCAGGAGAGGAAAGCGTGGAGGAAAGATCACCCGTTTGTAAGCACAGTTCCCTCCTGCGTGGGTGTGCCATGGGCGGGCCTGTCCCTTGCCCTGGCTGGCTGGTGGGGGGCGACTTGTCTTGGGTCGGGTGATGGAGGTGTCACAGCACTGACAGGCTTCTGTGGTTGTTTTCTCTCAGGGTTTTGTGGCTGTCCCGACAAAAAACCCCGACGGCACGATGAATCTCATGAACTGGGAGTGTGCCATCCCAGGGAAGAAGGGGGTAAGGGCATGGCGAGACACCGCCTGTGACGGCCGTATGTCCCGGCGGCCATCCCTGCCCTGTGGGGATGTGAGATCAGAAGGAGATCAGAAGCAAAGCTGGGTGACACTGGTGACCCCCGGGAAGTTCTCATCGAGGAGGGGGCAGCTGGTGACTGGCCAGGGCAAGCTGGGCTGTTGGAGAGAGTGGGGACCTGGCGTGCTAGGCACACAGCCTGGTTAGGTTGGCCCGCGGGCAGCCTTGAGCCTAGGGTTCTGGCTGGCTGATGGCCAGGCTCTCAAGAGCCTCCTGGACCCAGGAGCCAGTGATGGCCACGCAGGATGACTCTGTGTGTGTTGGGCAGGCGGCGTGCCATGTACCTCTCCTCCCTGCCCCTCATGTGCTAGGCATTTGACGAGGGTCCCTGGGCTCCAGGCTGGGCTCCTCCATTGCCCCGCCATGCCCCTCCCACTGAGCCTGGTGTCATCAGCAGGGCCTGGCTTTGCCTGAGATGCTGGGTTCTTGGGTCTGTCACTTGATCCAGCCACTGCTCAGGGGCCAGGGTGGATCCAACCTTTGCTGACAGCGTTCTCTGCCTTCGTGTTGGGGGAGGCAGAAGCCCAGTGCTGTCCCATCCAGAGAGGTGGGGAAAGGCACCTCGCCCTGGGGTACCGAAGGGGGGGCTTGAGGAGCAACCTGGGGGCACAGCTATGGGTCAGGGCTGGAGCCCTTGCGGCTCTGACGCCTGGTCCTGCCTCTGCTCCTTTTCCGGGAGGCTCTTTTTTGACTCGCTCTCCAGGCGCTGTTTGGGTCTTGGTAGTCCCCTAGGTGGGGACGGTCCAGGCTGTGATGTAGTTTAGGAACTCGCCCCTGCTGGGGCTCTGGCCAGGCGTCCTGGCAGCCCTGGGTTATGCCCAGAAGTGAGCCCTTTCTGCTGAGCCAGGCACAGGCAGCACATCTCACCACAGTGTTTCCCCACAGACGCCGTGGGAAGGAGGTTTGTTCAAGCTCCGGATGCTTTTCAAAGACGACTACCCATCCTCACCACCGAAATGTGAGTAGCTCACGTTGGACGTCCTGGGGGTCACCTATGTGGCCAGGTCCTTCTCAGAGGGGCTCCTGGTGGTGGGTGTCACCTTTTGCTGGGTGTACACGTGGTGCTGGGCGGAGGCAACAGAACTGGGGGCTACTTTGATGCTCAAACTCTGGCTCAGCTATAGGTTTGAACCTGTTTCTGGCCGGAGGCGGGCAGTGCACATGATAGGTTGAGTCTCTGATCCTAACTGATGGGCCCTGTGAAGGGCAGGGCTGTGAGACTCCGACTGGACTCCTGGGCCAGAAGCACCTAGACCTCAGTGGTTGTTGGAGACAGAGACTGAGGTCTTGGTGCCCACGAGACCCCAGCCCTGGTGGAACAGATGTGCAGAAGGCCCAGTCAAGACCCCTGCCCTGTGAAGGCTGCTTTTGCGTATTCTGTTAGCACCCCTTCCCCGCCCTCTTCTGTGGGCTATTAAGAGTTGCATACCTGCAGCCAGGCCTGGCAGAGCATATCGACCTGCAGGAAAGTGGTGGGGGCGGGGGTGTGAACTGAAGCCAAACAAATGACCTTAATGCCATTCAGCAAAGCACAGGAGGGGGCTCTGGGCCCACCCTCTCATAGCCAGGGGTCAGCAGGCCCTGCCAGTGGCCGGTCAGTTGATTATATTCCCACAGCTGTGACATCAGAAGGGAGCTGGCCTGGGGAGGTCAGGACAGGGGCAGGCATTGACCCGTGACCAGTGAGTCATTACTGCAAATGTATGCTTCGTGACAGTGGCACCTACTGGAAGAACCAACGGGCTGTTGACAGGGCAGCCGTTGTGGCAGAACGACACCTGTTCTGCATTGTGCTTTGCCTTGTGCAAGTCTTGCTGAAGATGCTTTCTTATAGTTGAGAGGGTAATCAGGAGTGAGAGGAACCCAGCTGTTCTCAGCGCTCTGTTCAGCGTTATGTTGGGATTCCAGGCAGACCGACGAGGCAGAGAAATCACAGGGAGGCCAGGGAGGAGACTGGGACTGCGGACACGCCGCTGTCTGAGATTGCTGTGGAAGAGATCGGGCACAGAAGACCATCATCACAGTGTCGACAAATGCACTTCTCAGAGCCATGTTTCCGGTGGCACCAGAGACCTTGGAACAAACCCCCACAAGATGGATTCAGGACCTCTACACCGAAAACCCACAGCATTCCCGAGGGAAACCCACGACCACCTGAACCGTGGGTGTGCACAGCCTTGCACCTGTGTGGAAGGCACAGGACTGGGCAGATGGTTGTTCTCCCCACGCACATCACAGATCCTGTGTGGTCCTGTTCTCAACTGGGCAAGTGTTGGGGGAATGGTCCAGCAGACTCTGGAAATGCAAGGGCAGCACCGGGTCCCGGACCAGGCAGGGTGTGAGACCAGGGAGCCTCTGTGGATGGAGAGTTCCAAGCTGCTAGTGAATGGGCACATTAGCCTCTCGGATGCTAAGAGCTGCCAGGGGCACAGGGATTGGGACCATGGGATTGTTGCCACCATAGGCAGGCCAACCTCAGAGCAGAACAAAGATCAGAAGGGCCTGTGGTGGACTGGCCCCAGCAGGGAGGGGCGCAGCACAGCATCTGGAGGATGACACAGGAAGGCATCTTCGTGACCTCAGGATAGACAGAGAAGACCTCCCCAGGGACACACAGTGCTAACTGTAGGGTATGGTTTGGAATTGACGAACTGGACCACAGTGAGATTAGTAACATCTCTTTGCTGGACACGGTAGCTCACATCTGTAATCCCAGCGCTTTGGAAGGCTGAGGCAACAGGATTGCCTGAGTCCAGGGGTTCGAGACCAGCCTGGGCAACATGGCAAAACCTCGTCTCTATGATAAGTAAAAAAAAAAATAGCCAGTTGTGGTGACATGCGTCTGTAGTTCCAGCTACTTGGAAGGCTGAAGCGGAAGAATCACCTAAGCCCAGGAGGTCAAGGCTGCGGTGGCCATGAGCATGCCACTACACTTCAGCCTGAACAACAGTGAGACTCCAACTCAAAAGATACCTCTTCACTGGGTGCAGTGACTCACTCCTGTAATCCCTGCACTTTGGTAAGTCAAGGCAGGAAGATAACTTGAGTCTAGGACAACACAGCAAGACTTTATCTCTACAGAAAATGAGCTGGCTGTGGTGGCATGTGCCTGTAGTCCCAGCTATTCTGGAGGCTGATTTGTGCCGAGGAGTTGAGTGACAGAGCAAGATCCTGTCTCTAAAACAAAAAGACGCCAGTGATAGGGAGGAGGCGGCACCAGATGGGGGAGGAGTATGTGTGTAGATGGTGCGTGTTTGTCTAAATACTTATCCTGATGAGCCAAGCGTTCCTGCTGGTCAATGCAGAGAAGCACACACACAGCGGGCCCTTCGCAGACACAGAAGAGCTGTCCACCTACCGGAAGAGGGTACCACCCACTGGGATCTTGCAGAGAGGAGCTGGCCAGGGCGCGAATCCTGCATGTGTCCCTCGAGGAGGAGCAGCCTGCAGCGTCTGAGGCCGCGCTGTTGCCCCTGCAGGACCTGACAGTTCCACTAAATACAGTTCCCGTAAATAAACAGACACGTTCATGTGGTCACCAAAGGCACAGAGAGGAGCACCGACATCACCCCCATCTGTGACAGCCCAGGAGTCTGTGGATGACAGACTGGGGAAACATATGCAGCAATAAGACGACGAGCCCTCCTGTGAGCAGGTGCAGCGTCCCCCAGCAGGACGTGATGCTCCTCCAAAGGCTCATATGAGAAGTGAGGACTGGGACATTTGGAGGGAAGCCAGCCAAGCGGGGTGAGGACTTTGGGGTTCCTGGGTCCATAACCTGCACTTTCCTGTGGACAAGTTAGGATTGGCAGGAGAAACAAGATTGTGATGAATCTGGTGAAGTTAAAACCAGGCAGCTGTGTTCATGAAAGGGGGAGAGACAGGAAGGCAAGACCAGGAGGGGGAGAGTGTGCAAACTGTCCTTGCAGGACTTAATGTCTAGCACATGTGAAGCACCCTGTGAACCCAGGAGGCCGCCCAGTAGAAATGGGCCAGGCTTGAACAAGAGCTTCTCTAGGGTGGCACCAGAGAGCACCAGTGAGCCAGCAGGGCTTCCTCGCTGTGGCAGGGGATGTGGATTAGAGTCATAGGAGGTGACTATCCACCTCTGGGGATGGCCAGAATCCACGACCAGCTCCGCCAGGAAGTGGCGGGGCTTGCAGACCCCACAGGGGCGTGCCAGTTGGCGGTGGGGTGCCCACAGCCCCATCTGACAGACGCGCTTCAAGGGCCAAGGTTCCCGCTCAGTGCCGGCCTGGCAGCTGTCAGCGGTGACCTGTGCATTCCTGTTGTGCAGGGCAGGTGCAGTGCTCCTTCACTGTGCTCTCGCCTGGCCTGTGCCAAGCTGGGAGCGCCAAACATGGCGCTGTGGTGCCAGGACAACTTGGGCGGCGGTCAGCGGGAGTTGTGAGGGGTTCTGGGAAGCCGCAGGTGTCGCTGTTGTTTAAAAGCCCAGGCAAAGACAAGGACTGTCCTCAGACATCAGCTGTGGGGCTGGTTAGGCAAAGTTTTCTGCTCCTCCATAAAGAACGTAGCCCTGAGGGCTGTCTTGGGATGCAGGTGGCTGTCCCCAGCCTAGCTCTGTGGACACAGCCTTCAGCATTGCCGCCCTGGGCTGTGTCCCCAAGTCCAGCCTTTCTGGGGGGCTGTGCGGGAGGCTTCTGAAAAACTTGCCACTCTAGGGTTTGTTCTCCGCCTGCGCAGCTGTCCCAGGAGTCCCTGTCCCTGAGAGGTGTGGCCACAGCTCCTGCCCAGTCTGTTCCCCAAATGAGCTGTGTGCAGGCCTCTGCCCGTGTCCTGTGGCCACAGCTGTATTTTTGAGAAGTCCTGGGCCACGTGCCCAGCTCCCCCTAGGTACCACAGTGTTGGAAGTGGGTGCCGGGCGGGCACTGGGTGGCTCTGCTGCAGAATGCCCCCTCCTCCCTCGTGCTCCAGGTAAATTCGAGCCGCCGTTGTTCCACCCAAACGTGTACCCTTCCGGGACAGTGTGCCTGTCCATCCTGGAGGAGGACAAAGACTGGAGGCCAGCCATCACAATCAAGCAGGTATGGCCTTCCCTGGGCCTACGTGGGTCTGGTTGTCTTCAGCATCTGGAGCAGCTGGCTTGTGGCGTCTGCTGTCTGACTCTGACCCCGGTGTTGTGTTTTTGTCTTGCACAGATCTTATTAGGAATACAGGAACTTCTAAACGAACCAAATATCCAAGACCCCGCCCAAGCAGAGGCCTACACGATTTACTGGTGAGTAGAAACTGGCCTCAACAGCGGCAGCTCCTGCCTCAGCCCAGCCCAGGCCGCCATCGGGAGAGTAGGGTCGGTGCTGCGGGCAGGGAGGCGAGGGGGATGGGGCGCCGGAGGAACTGGTGTCATGGCCCCAGCGAGCCCTGCAGGCAGTAGGCACCGCGTGTTGCCGCGGCCAAGGCCAGGCAACCAGAGCACTCTCGGGTGCTGGAGTAGGTCAGGTAATGTGGGCCACTGTCCCTGGGAAGTTGTGGCCAGGCTGGCTTTTCACTTGGGTGAGCAGTGGCCAGCTCGGGGGAGGAAGCCGTGCGGAGGTAGTGTCCGCTGGCCCTGCTGCCAGCCCTGTCCATGTCGCATATGGCTCCATCAGTGGGCAAGGCCCGACCCAGCAGGACTCGGGGGTGCCCTCCCTCAGGCCTGGCGTCCCCATCCCTGTGAGGTGCTGCTGTGGCTGCAGGGGTCCCTTGTGCATCCACTGTGGGGTGCTAAGGAGGGCCTGGTGTGAGGGAGGATCTAGACTCCCTCGGGCAGCAGTGAGGCCCTACACTTGGCCCTGACACTCTCCTGGGTCCCCCCCGCCCAGCCGCCCACCTTGGGGGCGGGTCTGGGGGCTCTGAGGAGCTGAGTGGGGGCTGTGACCCCACTGTGTCATCTGCAGCACTCAGAGACCTGGCCCCGCCCGGCCACGTCCCTGCCTCGCCAGGTGCCACGGCTGAGGAAGGGTGGAGGACATCTGAGGACCCTCGGAGGAGTTTGTCCGGCAGCTGCCCCGCCCAGGCCTCTCCGCTGGGGAGCGACGGGGGTGCCAGAGGCCTCTTCCTCCTGGGGAGGGGCTGCGCTTCTGGTTGGGAGAGGGGCGCCAAGGTGGGAGCCAGCACACCGAGGGTGGCCTGTGCAGTTCTCTAGGAAGGCCAGGCCACAGGTGCTCTTCGCCCTGGGCCTAGACCCAGCCCGGGCGGCGGCTGGGGCAGCACAGAGGCCCTGCGGCCCTCTGGCTTGGGTCTGCTCCTGCCTGTGCACCTCACCCTGTTCGCTGGAGCTGTCCTGAATGGGGTCCCAGGGCACCGTGCAGCCCGCCGTGAGCTGCCCCCGTCATGCATGAGCTGCCCCGTCTTCATGAGCGCCTGCCTTTGTTGGGGTTGGCACGCTGTGACCACATTCCCAGCATGGCCTGCCACCACCTCCTGTGTATCTGGAGTGACCGGTGAGCCCGAGTGGCCCATGGATCAGAGGTGGCTTCCTGTCATACCCCGTTGGCCAACGGCAGCTGTGGCGTCCCTGCTGTGTGACTCCTGGTCACCGGGGCTGGCTGCACACTTGCCTTCACTTAAACAGAATATTCTTTCTCCTATGAACACCTGCCTCAAAAGCACCTTTTGTGAAGCACATCTGGAAGTTTCAAGCCCCTTTTCCCAGCATTGCTGAAGCCCCAGGACCGGGTCCTGCCTGAGGGGCCTCCATGCTCCCTGGGTGAACGCAGTGTGCCTCGTGGCTGCCTCTTCTGGTTTCTTTCATTGCCCACTTGCTGAGCTGCTCTGACTGGGGCCACCCAGGCTGTGCTCTGGAGGGCACCAGGGCAGGGCTTGGACCCTCAGTCTGCCCTGTGCTGCTGTCTGTGGCCTGCTGGCACTCCCCTGCAGCCCCCAACCGGCTCAACATGGACTCTCCAGGACTGGCGGTCTCTCAGGGGGCTCTGCCCTGACTCCCTGGGCGCCAGGGCAGGGTCCTTTGGGTCAGCTCTTGCCTGGAGCCTGCAATCTGTACGGTGGCTTTTGGTCTCAGCCCTGGAGCTTCCGTAGGGCCTGGGCAGCAGGGGCCACGGTATTCAGGCAGGGAGGGCACCCATACGTAGACATGTCCCTCGCCTGGCTCTGCTGAGGACAGGAACGGGCTGCTGCGTCCCACAGGCCTCGAGGTCACACTGCTCCCCATGGCAGCCCCTCATCCTCCACAGCCGCACTGAGATGAGCCTCACAGGACCCCAGCTCTGCTCCTGCTCCCGAGGGCCCCCACTCCCTACCCCAGGGCCTCGGGAAAGGCACTCCAGAGTGTGTGTCTGTCGTTGGACATTTGGAGCAGAGGTGGTACCCAGCAGCCAGTGTGGCAATTGTCTGCCCTTCTCAGGCTTGTGGAGAAACTGCTGACCACCAGTTCAGATTGGGTTCCCGGCCTGCCGTGTGCTGACCCCGGGCATGGCCACCTCTGGCCTAGCCCCCTCACTGCCTGTGGGCCTCTCTGCCTTCCAGGTTGTGCTCTGTGTTGGGTGCCCAGGTGATCACAGGGCCTCCAGAGGAGGCTGCCGCCCCTCCCTGGTCACATACCCACCAGCGTGGCCCTCTTTCTTCCTGCAGGCCCCTGGCCTGGTCTCTGGGACTAGCAGGGTAGCCTGGGGTTTCACACGCACCCCTGCCTTCCAGGCTTCTGCTGCAGCATCTACCTGCACGTCCCCGCTGTCATCCCATCTGGCCTGGCCATGGCCCATGTGCCCATCGGGCGCTGACCCTTCTAACAGATTCTCTTTTGACCTCCTCAGCCAAAACAGAGTGGAATATGAGAAAAGGGTCCGAGCACAAGCCAAGAAGTTTGCGCCTTCATAAACAGCGACCTGTGGCATCATGAAAGGAAGGGATTGGGCTGGCAAGAACTTGTTTACAACATTCTGCAAATCTCGAGTTGCTCGACGGTCGCGGGGTGGGCACATCTTCCATTGCCGCCATGGCGGCCTGGAGGGCTGAGGTGCCCGTTGCTCAACAGGGTCTCTTCCTTCCGTCTTTTGTATTTTGATTGTTATGTAAAACTTGCTTTTATTTTAATATTGATGTCAGTATTTCAACTGCTGTAAGATGATAAACTTTTATACTGGGTGAGCCCTAGGCGCTAGTTCCTCGCTCGGACGCAGGCATGCTTCCCGCCGTGAGCCGCGCTTCGCTCCCGCCTTGAAGAGAACCACCCCGCCTCCTCCAGATCCGGCTGTCCCGGCCCGGCCGTCCGCAGCGGCCTCTCACTTCTGCATCACTTCCTTGTGTTTATATGGCGTTTTGTCTGTGTTGCTGTTTAGAGTAAATAAACTGTTTATATAAAGGTGTTGGTTGCATCATTGTCTTTCGCAGGGGAAAGGCAGCCTCACCTGGGCCGGGCTTCCCCCGACTGCAGGCCCCACTCAGGCCCCTCGAGGCCAGCTGGGCCAGGCTGGCTCCAAGGACCCCTCGCTGTCCTTGCTTCCAGAGTGGCCCGTCTCATGCTGGGTCCTTGTCAGTAGGACTGTGTGCAGAAGTGGCTCTGAGGCGTGGCCTCCCACCTTAGTTTGGCCGTAGGGCGCGGGGCAGCTCAGTGCTGGGTAGGTTGGAACTGGCGCCAAGACCTTGTAGAACACAGCTTGGCTGGTGTGTGCACCCAGCGGGACACGGGCCCTGCCCAGGGCCGAAGCCGAGTGAGGACCCAGTTCCAGCAGCTCACAGGCCTGGGTGCACCCGCCCCTCATGGCCTGGAGAACAACTGGTGCTTCCCCCAGGTGATCTTCAGCACCTGGACCCTGGGGCCCTGCAGGGTCTCCCCAACCTATGTAGCCCCCTGGGTTCGGGGCCTGGTGTTGGCTTGGCCCTGGCCGCCCAGTGGTGTCAGTGCCTGCATGTTCTGTGTCCAGAGGCTTTCTGTATCCAGTCTGTGCCCCGCCCCCAGAGTCCTGGACCCCTCCCTAGGTGAGATGGAGGGAAGTCCTGAGGGGCCAGCCTAGGCCAGTCCAGAGCCCAATCCAGACTGGCCCAGCCCAGCAGCCTCTGCTCCCTCTGAGCTGGGGCCGTGGGGAGTGAGGAGAGCAGGGAGGGCAGGTCCCCGGGCGCCACAAGAAACCCCAGGGCTCGGGAGGGAGGACCCTGCGCCTGCAGTCAGTGTGGGACCCTAGCCTGCGCCAGCCAGACTCTGCCCGAGTTCGAGGTGACTCGAGGGCCCCAGGGCTGGCCGGCGCCACTGACTCCGGAGCGTGAGTGCCTTGTTGCTTCCTAGCAGCACGTCTGGCGTTGGCGTTTGCAACTTACTCGCGGCTCAGAGGGCCTTTCCTGGTTTCGCCAGGTTGTATCTGTGTAGCCCGTGCTCAGAACGGCTTATTTTGTACTGGCTGAACTACACTTAGTATTAGTTACACATGTATATGGTTAATATATATGGAAATTCGATATATTTTATAGTTAAAGCATTCTAAAGTAATGGATGTTTCTAGCAAACTGTAGTGACTTCAGCTAATGAAATGTTTCTTTTGTACCACAGTCCTCAGCTTAACAAAGATGTGACTTGTAACATGAGAAACGTGAAACGCGATCACCCGTGCTAAGCGTGAGGGAGCGGGTGGGCTCTGGCATGCGGCGCTTCCTACTTAGGACCTGTGGGCACTGGATTAATCACTGTATCCAAGAATCATCAATTAAAGCATTTCCACAACTGCAGCCTGCGAGTGTTTCCTTCCTGCCTGTCTCAGTCTCCCCTGGGCTGCAGGGGTGGGGAGCCAACCCCTCCCCCGCTGTCCTGCCCCCAGGAGGCCACCCCCCCATGGCTTCCAGCCCAGCTTCAGCCCCCTGAGGCCAGCACCAGGGATGTTCCTCAAACCAAGGTGGATCCCAGGTCTCCTGACCCTCTACTCCCTGGCCTGCTTTCTGGCCTCCTCCCTGGGACCTGGGGCTGCTCTGGCTGCCCCAGGGGTGCGGCCTCCTGAGTGTGGGGTGAGCACACACTTTGCTCCTGTTGACTCCTCCCACCACAGCATGTCCTGCACTGGCCATTACACAGGTGCAAACGGGGAGCCAGGCCTTGGGGCAGCCCCCCAGGAAGGGCAGCTCCCAGGGGACCCTGCTCCCAGCAGGATGGTGTTCTGGGCCTGAGCAGGTCACACTTGCCCTCTGCCCCTGGGGTCCCTGGGACTTGGGCTGGCCAGGCCGAAGGCGGCAAGGAGCCCTGAGCACCTTGCAGGACTGCCGCCCCC